AGATTGTCTCCTCAGTCATTCCCTCTCCATCCCTTTTCACTCTCCTTTGTACTTCCCCTCTTCCTTTCTCCTCTCTCTCCTCCTCTCCCCATCTATTGATTCCTTCCATACTGCCTTCAAACATATCCAAGCCTCCCCTATCCTGAAAAAGGCTTCCTTAGACCTTGCCATTCCTTCAAACTACCATATCGTATCTCTCCTCCCTTTCTCAGCCAAACTTGTAGAAAAAGCCATCTACATTCATCTTTATTTACTCTCCTCTCACTTGCTCCTTAACCCTTTGCAATCTGTCTTCCAACCTTGTCATTCAACTGAACTTGTTCTCTTCAAAATTACCAGTGATTGGAGCAGCTAGGTGGTGCAGTGGATAGAGCACTGGGCCTGCTGGAGTCAAGAGGACCTGAGTTCAAATGCGGCCTCAGACTAGACACTTGACACTTATTAGCAGTGTGACCTTGGGCAAGTCACTTAACCCCAATTACCTCAGCAAAAAGAAAAGAAAAAAGAAAAAATTACCATTTATCTCTTAATTGCCAAGCCTCATGATCTTTTCTCAATCCTCATCCTACTTGACCTCTCTGATCTAATGACATAATATGCATGTAAAGGGTTCTGCAAACCTTAAAACCTTACATAAATATTAGCTGTTACTTGATACTGTTGATCATTTTCTATATATTTTCTCTGCTTTGAATTTTCATGATGTTGCTTTCTCCTGGCTCTCTCCCTACTCGTCTTACCACCCCATCTCAGTCTCCTTGGCTGTCTTACCATCCATCCCATCCTTCCACTGAGTCCTTCCCAAGGCTCTAGCCTGGGCCCTCTTTGATTCTCTCTCTACTCTTTCTTTATTGGTGATCTCACCTTCTCCCTTTCCCTCTCCCCCACATACATCAGGCTGCCAGATCCTGCCATTTCTTCCTCCACAACATCCCTAGTATTTGACCCCTCCTCTCTTTTCACAAAGTTCAGATTCTCATCAGTGCCTGCCTATATTATTGCAACAACTTCCTAACTGGACTAGATGCCCCTAAATTCTCCCCACTCCAGTCTATCTTTACAGAGCAGTTGAAGTGACTTTCCTTAAGTGCATATCTGACTGGGTCACCCCTCTACTCTCTAAACTCCTATGGTTTCCTATTGTTTCTAGGATAAAATAGAAACTGCTCTGTTTAGCTTTTACATCTACCTACCTTTCCAGCTTCACTCTACATTATTCTCCTTCCTATACCCTGCATTTTACTCACAGTCCTTTTCTCCTTTTTTCACACATGCCTTTGCACTGGCTGTCCCCTCCATCTGAAAAGTCCTCCTCCCTCATCTCTGCTCAGTAAAATCTCTTCTTGACTTACATGAGCTGATGCAAAGTGAGGTGTACTGTGTACAGAGTAACAGCAATATTGTAAGATGATCAGCTGTGAATGACTTAGCTATTCTCAGCAATGCAACCATCCAAGACAACTCTGAAGGATTTATGATGAAAAATGCTATCCATCCCCAAAGAAAAAACTGATGGTGCCTGATTGAAGCATACTTTTTTAACTTTATTTTTCTTGAGGGTTTTTTGTCTATGTTTTCTTTTACAACATGACTATTATGGAAATGTTTTGCATAACTACACATACATAACCTATATTGAATTGCTTACCTTCTCAATGGGGGGGGTAGGGAGAGAGGAAGAGAGAGAATTTGGAACTCAGTGTTTTTAAAACAAGCATTAAAAATTGTTTCTACATGTAACTGGGGGAAAATAAAATACCAAATAAATTAAAAATAAAGAAAAAATTGGCAAATGCTAAAATAATAAAATAAAATTTGACCTCTGGGGAAAAAAAATAAAATCTCTTATTTGAAAATGCAGCACTTCCTTCTACATGAAGCTTTTCCCCAGTCCCCCACAACTACTAGTGCCCTCCCTTCATAATTACCCCGTATTTTAGTCTCTCTCTCTCTATTCTGTACATACTTAATATATGTATTTGTCTCCCTGGTAGAACACAGGCATCTTGTGAATAAGGTTTGTTTCATTCTTGATAGTTGCACCAACTGTTAGCCCCCAGTACAGTGCCTGGACTTGATAAGCCTCATTGATTGATTACCTGTTTCAGAATTGTGTGCTTGGAATATTGTCCTGTTTTGTTTTTGATGATTCAAGTATCACATCCTCTACAAAATGCTACTTTGTGTGACTTTCTTTTATCTGTCAAAACATTTTGAACTTTACATCTTCCTTGTCTTAGTTGCTCTTTAAATTTCTTGTGATTCTTAACTGTTTTACCACGCTGTGTGATTCATTTTTGAAAATGAAAGTGCTTCAGAATTCATGCCATCTTGGGGTGGGAGGAGGGGCAAGATGGGGTGAAAATTTGGAACTCAAAATCTTGTGGAAGTGAATGTTGAAAACTAAAAAGAAATAAATTTTAAAAAATAAACATTTATGAAGACTAAAAAAAAGAAAATGAAAGTGCTTTTTCATGCCTCAGCCTCTTTCCTTTTTTTTTTAATTGATTATAGCAATAAAGGTTTGATGAGCTACCATTTCCTATATGAGTCAACAGTTGCATTAACCAACCATTCTTATTTAAAATAATAATTTATGTTACTAAAGATAGGCAGCTCAGTGCAATGGTGTTTGATTTAGAGTCAGCTTATTTGGGTTCAAATACTGCCTTTTCCATGTAGTAGCTGTGTGATTTTTGGCAAGTCACTTAAACTGTGTTAAGTTGAGTTTCCACACTTGTAAAATGAGGGAATCAGTCCTTTAGGCCAACTTGTAAGATCCCTTTCAGCTCTAAATCTTTGATCCTTTCATGAGGTTGAAAAGCCTCTTAGCAGTGTAGTGAGGGCAGGTGGTAAACTTTAAACTTTCTTCTTTATTTGGCTTTATTTGAATTCTGTCCTTGTCTTGCTTTTCTGCTTTTCTTTTTTAATCCCTACTGCAAATACCAAGACTACATCTTTTATTACTCTGATGTAGGAAGGGAATTGCAGGGAGAAGTTTGGATTGAAAATGTCCCAGTCAGCCAAATAATCCCTTGCACTGGAGTAATAACCTCTGGACCTTGGGTGGAGAGCCCTCAGCCTCGAGGCCACATGTGGCCCTTTAGATCCTTGGGTGAGATCTTTTGACTCAGTCCGGGTTTTACACAACAAATCCTTTTGTTAAGGGATTTGTTCTGTAAAATTTGGATTCAGTCAAAGGGCTACATTTGAGATCCTAGAGGGCCACATGTGGCCTCAAAGCCGCAGGGTCCCCACTGCTGCTCTAGACCCTCAGGTGGGTTTAAAACTAAGCTAGGAGAGGCTGAGGAAAGTTCTCCTCATCAATGGGCTGGTTCAGTTCTATATGCTAAGGGATGTTTAAGTAGCTAAGTTGTTTAATAGATAGAGTTCTAGGCCTGGATTTAGGAAAACCTGAGGTCAAATACAGCTTCAGACACTTAGCTGTGTTTGTGACTCTGGGCAAATCACTTAACCTCTGGCTGCCTCAGTTTCCTCAACTGTAAAATGATATAATAGCACCTACCTCCTAGGATTGTTGAGGAGCAAATGAAATAATATTTGTAAAGCCATTGGCACACTGCCTGGAACATAGCACAGGCTTAATAAATACGTCTTTCCTTCCTTCCATGATCCTCCTGTCCAGTAGCATAATTAGGATTCCTGGTATTTAGATAAATTCTTAAATTTCAGGTTCTTTCCACTTTGTGGGATAGTGAATGGATTTAACTTGTTGTGGAAGGAAGATCACCTACCTAAGGAGTAAATTGGGCCCAAGTTACACTCTGGTTAGTGGTGTCATCATGCAATCACAACTTCACAAAACTTATGTGAAAACTAGGTTTATTACAAGAGAAATGAACATACATATGGAGCCCAAAGAGTTCATGATCCATACAGAAGTTTGCATATTTATGACAGTAGGACAAAGGAGGAGAAAACATAAATCTCTACCTAAATGGGCATGTCATGGGAGGGGGAAAGGTGCCGTAAAGGTGAGAAAAGGACAAAACCCCTCCTGAAGAGGAAGAGCAAATTGATGGTAAAAGCAACATTCTATTCCCTTGGGAACTGCTGGACCATGAAGATAGGATGGTCTGCTTATCTAAGGGTCCCGGATACATAAACAGTTTCTGGGCCTAGTGCAGGTTGACTGGCTCCTGAGTCAAGCCAAGGACACACAGAAGTCCAGTTTGGGATACAAACAACAAATTATCTTATTTCGGGGATGGAGGGGACGGGGTTGTGGTGGGGAGGCTTCATCCTTGACACATTCAGGGCCTCCTGCATACCCGGGATCAGGCCTGCACAACATACGGCCTACAGGTAGCCCACGTAAAATGTAGAGAATGTAAAAGAAAGTGAAGATGTAACAAGTGCATTGTCCATGCCCTGCTTAACCCACCTTCTACCAGTCATTATTGTGCACATCATGTAACTTGGCAGGTAGGTTGCCACTGCGCACTCTCCTGTTTGTCACGTGACCCACAGCAACCAACCATTGTCAGTCTTTCTCTAGTCTGAGAGGAGCAAGAGTTGTTATCTTTTGGCTATGTTTTTGATCATTACTGGCATTGAACAGGGACAAAGTGCAGCAAAGTAATTTTTTTTAACATTAATGTGATTTCATGATAAATAAAAATTGATATTAATTGAAGTTTTCCTTCTTTAAATAATGGTTTATTTGCAAAATAGTTTAATCATTAATTATACCTTTACTTGGAAAGTGAGCCGCTAAAAACCTATCTGCAGCCCGAAGAAGTTTAACCCTACCTATTGTCTAGTTGTGCAGGTCTGCTCTGGATCCAGTTTTTCTGGAAAATATGACAACTCAAAAAGACAAGTTCAGGGGACCCCTTAACATTTCTTAGCATTGGACACACAATTCCTTTAGAGAAAAGCAAGCAAGAGAGTTTTAATTGTATGGGACCAGTTTGTAGTGTCACAAGTGGTTAATTTTTCAGTGATAATGATTTCTGCTTTTTTTTTTTTTTTGGTAGCTTCATTAAAGAGCGCTCAAAAGTCAATGCAGTACCCTTGAAGAATAAAAAAGCCTCCAGTTTTCATGAGTTTGCCCGAAATACCAGTGATGCTTGGGACATTGGAGATGATGAGGATGAGGACTTTTCCACATCCTCTTTCCAAACTCTGAACTCTAAGGTTGCTTTGGCAACCGCAGCCCAAGTCCTGGAGAACCACAGCAAGTTACGGGTGAAGCCAGAGCGGTCCCAATCTACGGCAGCTGATATAACAGCTAATTTTAAAGTCATCAAGTCCAGCAGTGATGCCCAGCTGTCTAGAAATTCTGGTAAGCCTATCTGTATAATATGAACCCTCTAAGCAGAGCTTATCTTAGCGGAAAAAAAAACATCTTTCAGTATCTATTCATTCAGATCTACTATAATGTGATGGCTGGACACACAATTCCAAGGAGTGGTCCTCCCTGTTGGTAGCATTCTGCCAACAACCCCTTTGTATTTCACCCCTTCTCTTTTTATGGTAAGGCCCAGGGTTCATTAAATTTGATTGCTTCAAACCACTTTACAATTTGTCAAGTGTACTCAGCTAGGGACTTTAAAGTGTTTTGTGCATGGATTTTACAGATCTTTGGTTTCTTTGAATAGACTTTAACACTTGCAAAGAGCCATTGGCACAAATTTGACCTCTTTTCTGTGTCCAAGGTATTATGAAACGGATTTTTTCTAGAGACATTTCCCTGGTAGCCCCAAGTATGTTCATTGAGGGTGGAGTAGGGAACGAAGAATGATCAAGCCTTTTTTTTCTTTTTAAGAAACCGGCCCAATCCTTTATCCTCCATTATACTTTTTTGGTTCCCGTCTTCCGTATTTAGTGTTGCCTTTAGAGGTTTTGTGATTACTTGAGTCACTTATCCACAGGACAAGGGAAAGGTGTCTCAATGGCTGAAGTATGTCATGGCTAAACTTCTTAGATAACATTTTTATTTTAAGCAAAATTTCTGTACAGTTCTTAATTCATGAATACTGAACTAGATTGGGAGACCTTCATAGCAAACCATGAGGGTGATTCAGAGGTGACTCCTCAGTCCTCTGAGTCATTGCTTCTGGTTGCTAGGGCTTTAATATTGAGAACTCTGTTGAGTGATTAGTAAGCAATATTGTGGCTACTGCAAGAGGCTGTGGAAAGTGCCTGGGAATTGAGGGTAAAGGTGTCTGGTGGCAATCAGAAGTATTGGGAAGCCATCCTTCATTAAAATTCCTGGTTTTTTTTAATACCGCTTTGAAAGGTAGACAGCCTCTTATAATTGCCACTTATGCTAACCTTTGATGCCTGAGGATCTGAGTGAGCCCCTTCTGAGGACGCAGATGCAGGTATGAGGAGGAGTAACCAGTCCCTTCCACATTTTCTTTGCTAAGCCTCTGTTGGGTACACAGGCACATAGGTCCTCCTATCCCATTAGCAACTTCTAATTTTGTTTCTACCTAAAATGTGTCAAAAATTGAATCTGAGCTCTGGGGTTACATTTTATAAAGAAATGCTACAAGGAGGCAACGTGATACAGTGAAAAGAACACTGGCACCTTAGAGGACTTGGATTCAGATTCTGCCTCTGACCTCCGTGACCTTGGACAAGTGACCTCTCTTAGCTCCAGTATAGGGAAACTGAAACTATGTATGAGAGAAGATCGTCTTAGGTTAGAGAGTTGTGACCTTAGAGTCTATGCCCTGAGTAAATCATAAGGTTAAGGGTAGGTGCTATGAACTCGGGTTTCTTTTCATTTGGAATGAGGCAAAAAAAAGAATTCTTGGGGTTACTGGGCTAAGTAAAGAGAAGGGTACTGAACTACTTTGCAAAGCTGCCTAAATTTCTCTTTAAAAATGTTCCCAGGTGACACATACTCACGGAACCCTCTTCATAAACAGCAATCACTTCCACTCCGACCCATCATCCCCCTTGTTGCCCGAATCTCAGACCAGAATGCTTCTGGTGCTCCCCCAATGACTGTCCGAGAGAAAACACGCTTAGAGAAATTCCGGCAGCTCCTCTCTAGCCACAATACAGACCTAGGTGAGTTATTGCTGTACCACAAGCAGGTCCTTTTGGTAACTTAATACTTCTATGTCTCTGCAATAAGCCTTTTATTAGAAAAGCTAGAAAAGTCAAAGGAAGACAAGGAGAGAGCAATTGTTTTTAGACTTCCTTAGTTTATTCTTTATCTGGTCTCCTTTTAATTTTTCAGCATCTTAATAAAATTCTATTTGTGGAGACTTGATATTAAGTTAAATGAAGGGCTTTTAAGAGGACCAGTTCGATGAGTCGGGGTTCTGTGTCTTCTAACCTGGAGCGCCACAGTTCAGGGACTTGTCGTGTCCGACTTGCCTCAGAGGTCAGTCTTCCTGAAGATCCTGTTACTGGCTCAATCTGTGAATGGAATTTTGGTTTTCTCTCTTAGGCAGAATGCTTAGCAGATAGGTTGGCACCATAGGATTGTAACCTGTGGCTCTTTACGTGCGGGGTTATCAATTTGTGCTATTCCCTGTTCCTTGTCAGGAGCCAGTGGAGGGCGATATTTTTACTCTAGGCAGCGGTTAGATGTTTGGCATCATTGCTTGAGTATTGATAAGAGACACTTTATGGGGAAAATATTATCCATTGAGTCTGTTATCTGTTTGCAGATGAACTGAGGAAATGTAGCTGGCCAGGAGTTCCCAGAGAGGTTCGACCTGTCACTTGGAGGCTCCTGTCGGTAAGTTTGTGCTACTGGAAGGTTTCTGAGCCCCGAGCAATCCTTTTTGTCTGATTAGACGATGATTAGGCACATTTATCTTATTCTATTGGCTCCACTAAACCTACCAGGTGTTGTATACATGTGGGACCGTACTTCCTAATTGTCTCTCCTTAGAAATTTATTTGCAGAAAAGTATGTGCCTGATTTTAATATTTTTATGTGTACTTAACAGTCATCAACAAGTGATATTTTAATATAGGAGGAACAACAGAGGATTGCACATGAAACTGTGAACTTCTGTTATGTACAGTTTGTTTTACACAAGTGTTTTTAAATTTTACAATATAGTAACAAAATTGCCCTGTTTATGTTCCTGTCTCTTAACTCATTCTCCTCCCTATCTCATTAGAAGCCTTTGCCTTATAACAAAAAGTGTAGACAGTAAAACAGATCAACACATCAGCTGTTTCTGAGCCCTCTGCTCCCTCACCGCTGCCACTAGAGGGGAAGCCTGTTTCATCGAGCTTCTGAAGTCATGACCTGATCACTGCACTGATCAGAGTTTGGAAGTCTTTCACAGTTGTTTTACTTTACATTACTGTGATCATTGTGAAAGTTCATTCATTCATTCAATAAACATTTATTAAGTGCTTACTGTGAGCCAGGCAGTGTGCTAAGTGCTAGGAATATAAAAAGAGGCGAACGACAGTCCCTACCTCCAAGCAATTTATAATCTAATGATCTAAGTTGTCCTCCTGGTTCTGCTCACTTCACTCTGTCATTTCATACATACAAATCTCCCCAGGTTTATTTGAATCCATCCCTTTCATTATTTCTTAAAGCATGATAGTATTACATTACATTCACATACCATAATTTGTTGAACTCTTCTCTGATCAGTGGATACCCACTGTGCCTACAGTGCTATAACAAAAAGTAACATATTAGTCCATTCCCTCTGTCTTTGACCCTTTGGAGTCTATGCCTAGTTGAACTCTAGCTGGGTCCAAGGGTTTGCATAGTCATAATCTTTGTCATTCAGACAATAAAGCATTTGTTAATCACTTGACTATGTTCCCTGGCACTGTGCTAAGTGCTGAGGATATAGTTCACTTCCTAATTGGGGAGACAGCAATAAGATAATTATGTATATTCAAGATATATTCAATGTAAATGAGAAGTAATCTCAGACAGAAGGCACTGGGATGGGAAGAGGAAAAGCTTGTAGGAAGCAGGTAGTGAGAGTTGAGGAATGTGAGTATGGAGTACAGCCAGTATAAATGCACGGAATTAGGGAGCTAGATTGTCATATGAAAGGAACAGTAAGGAGGCCTGTGTCACTGGATCATAGAATAAAGTAATATGTAAGGGACTGGAAAGATAGGAAGGGACCAGATTATAAAGGACTTTAAAAACCAAAATGAGGATTTTATGTTTGATCCTGCAGGTAATTGACCTGTGTTTACTTGGAGGTGATAAGGAGCCATTGGAATTTATTTGGAGGGGAGGGGATGGTAACATGGTAAGATCTGCCTTCTAGGAGAATAAGTTTGGCAGGATGGATTAGAACGGAGGTATAGACTTGAGGCAGGCTTCCAAAAACCTATTGTAATAGTCCAGATGCAAGGTGACCAGGGCTTGCACCAGGCTGGTGGCTGTGTGAATGGAGAGAAGGGGAAATATAGGAAGAATGTGATGAAGGTAGAAATGAAGACTTGTCGATAGTTTGGATATGTGGGGTGAGTGCTCATGAATACTGGAGAATGACACTAAGGTCGGAGCCTGGATGACTGGGAGGATGGTGCTGCCCTTGACAATACTCAGGAATGTTTGGAAGAGGCAAGGGTTTGGGGGAAAAGGTAATTTTGAGCATGTTAAGTTTGAGATGTCTACAGGACATTTGGTTCAAGATGTCCAAGAGTCAGATGGAGAAAGGTTAGGGTTGAATATAGAGAGATCTGGGAGTCATCTGCATAGAGATGATAATCGAACCCATGAAAATTGATGTGATCACCAAATAAGACAATAAAGAGCAGAGTTTCCTTCCTTGCTTCTTAAATATGCTTCAGTCTGCACTCAGAAGTCATCAGTTTTCTTGGAAGTAGATCACATTTTTCATCATGAGTCCTTTGGAATTGTCGTAGATCGTTGTATTTATCAGAGTAGCTAGGTCTTTCACAGTGAATTATCTTGATAATATTGTTGTTACTATGTACAATCTTCTTCTGGTTCTATAGAGCAGATGTTCTTAACCTTTTTTGTGTCATGGACAAGCCTATAAACACCTTCTCAGAATAATGTTCTTAAGCACATAAAGTAAAATACATAAGATTACCGAGAAAACTAATTACATTGTTATACAGTTTTCAAAATATTCTTAAAAAACGATTCCATGGATCCCAGATTAAGAGCCTTTGGTGTAAAGTGAGGAGAGAAGAGGATTCATAATAGAGCCTTGGGAAACACCCATAATTGATGGTTGTGTGACTGGTAGTTTTAATGACTTCCAGATTGCTTTCCAGAATCATCTGACCAATTCATAGTCTCTCTAGCAGTGCAGTAGTGTGCCTGTCCCTCTATAACCCCTTCAACAATTGTCATTTTTGTCTTTTGTTAACCTTTGTTAATCTGATGGGTATGAGATGGAACCTCAGACTAGTTTTAGTTTACATTTCTCTTATTATTAGTGATTTGGAACATTCTTTCTTATGGTTGGTGACAGCTTGCATTTTTTTGAAAATAGTCTATTCATATTCTTTAACTATTAGGATGTACCCTACTTTAACATGAATAAGCTCATACTCAAATTTACATGAGGGAAGTGTAGAGCTGAACAGGCTCATCCCGGAGAAAGTAATCCAAGTCATTATTTTAACCAACATTTGTCATTTATAGACTTTAGACAAATTTCTAACTTCTTTTTTTCTTTTTTTCCTTTTTATTGATTTTTTTAAAAATATCACTTTCGTTTCCCAATATATCCTTCCCCTTCTCCCCATCTTGAGGGTCATCCTTTATAACAGATTTTTTAAAAGGGGGAAAAAATCAATTTAGCAAAACTAACCAACACATTAATCAAGTCCAACAGTTAATACTGTGTTTCCCCTGTGTAGGGGCTCACTTCTGCAGAGATAAGAGGGAGATACGTCTCTTAAATCTCCTCTGTGGTGCCAGGCTTAGTCATTGGAATCCCATACCATTTGGTTTCCGTTTTTGTGGTGATAGTTCTTTCCAATTACGTTGTTGTAGTCGTTGTGCATGTGGTTTTCTTGTTTCTTCTTACTTCACTCTGCATCAGTTCATAGATACCTCTCTTGAATACTTTGTGTTTATTATTTCTTACAGTGCAGTAACATTCTATTACATTCATGTAACCCAAGTTTTTTTTTTTTAACTGTTCCATCTTTGATGGATATCTTCATTCTTTCCAGTTCTTTGCTACTACAGAAAGTGCTGCTAAAAATATTTTGGTGTATATTGGGCCTTTCCCTCTGTTTTTCTAACTTCTTTTTCCCTCATCCTCTTTTTTAAAAGTAGGAATAATAAAAATTATCTAGAAGCATTTTGTAATTTTGAAAAGTCTTATAAATGAGTCTTTATTTAAAGTTGACATTTATTGAGTTTCTTCTCAGGCATCATAGACTTTTGCATAGACTTTCTGACCGTGCACAATCCATTCATCCATTCATTAATTTGCTCAGTGTTCATCCATACATTCATTTGTTCAGTATTTATTAAAAATTTATTTTGTTCAAGGGAATTCAAACATAGCACTTGTCCTAAAGGAACCTATCATGACATGTAATATAATTGACTTAGAAAGCAAAGACCAGAGGACTTGAGGCAGCCCGTTTTCCCTCTTGCTTATTTTCCCTTCACATCCCTGAAATGATTTGATCCATTGCCTTTGCCACCTGTGGTAAATTTTAAAAATACACAAAGTGGACTTAATTAAGGAAGAGGGCAGTAGTGCAGCAGATCAGTGCTGAGAGTGAGATCTAAGCCAGGGGCAGGAAGGAGAGGACAGGTGCTGTGGCCAGGAGGGAGCCTGGGCCCCACGGAGGCTCGTTTGAAGGTCTGGCTTTGTGTGTTGCGGCTACCGTATCATGCATTCCATTCAGCTTTCTAGGCTTATAATTCTGACATGCAATTGAGTAGAATGGGAAATAGGCAATAGTCACTTTGAATCTCACTGGACTAATGTTGCTCAGTAACGTATGGGGAATGTGCATATGTCTCCAGAGTCTAGTTATAGACTTTGGGAGGCCCCTAGCTTAAAGTTCAAACTCCCTTCTCTGACCCACATTCAGTGCCCTGTTGTGCCAGCTAACTAAGCCTCGGAGTAGTTCCCAACACTGCAGACTGAGCTCAGTCCTAGAGACATAGTAATCAATATTCTGTGGAGATTAGCACTGTTTAATCTGATTATCCTTGGATTTCATTGAATGGGAAGGAAAAAACTAGGAGACCAAAAACTAAAAAAACCAAAACCAAAAACTCACCATCCTTTTGGAAGCCTTTCCTCCCTTGCTTTCACGGTTTCTAGTACAATAGCAAGGCTAAAATAAAGTTATGGCTCCATATGACCAGTGCCTGTTCACCTCTGACCTGGGCTCCTGTCTGTAGGGATACCTCCCAGCCAACACTGAGAGGAGGAAGATGACACTGCAGCGCAAACGGGAGGAGTACTTTGGTTTCATTGAGCAGTATTATGACTCCAGAAATGAAGAACACCACCAGGATACCTATCGACAGGTATGTTTGCTATTTGCTGACTCTTCTTCTTCTCCCCCTAATGGACCATATGCCCCAGACAGTTTCCAGGGGATAGTCGAAGGGTTCCCAGATCCCTCAGTTATCAGTCTCTTGGCATACCTGTGGTTGAAAATATTGCAGCACTGTGACCTTTCCTTTTTTCAGTATCATATATTCTAGCTGAATAAAGCATTGTTCTCCAAAGTGGGGGCCATGGCCTGACCCCAAGGACTCTATAATCAGCCAGTCAGAGGATGGAAAGATGGATTACATTCTACTCCTGCCCCCATCCCTCATAGGCTGTTTTGGGGCTTGCCTGCAACACAAACTTTCCTATTCTCATCCCCCAAAACTCCCCTTTTCTTACCCCTGCCTCCTTTGGAGGAGAGGGAAGGAGAGGGAAGAAAGGGAAGGAAGAAGTAGGGAAAGGAAGGAAAGTCTCTGCTATCAAGGAGGTCACAGTCCAGCGGGAGAATCAACATGCAAACAATTATGTACCAATAAACTATAAACAGGACTGATTGGGGGTAGTCCCAGAGGGAGAGCACTAAGATTAAGGAGGGCTGGGAAAGATAGACTTTAGCTTGAAGGGAAGCCAGGAGGTAGAGATGAGGAGGGAAAGCTTTCTCAACAGTTGGAAGTACACATTCCCCACCTTCTCCCTCCTGAGCCGAGTATGACCCTCTCAGGACAATTATAACCTGTCCTCTCTCTACCAGCCAGCAGGTGCTGTTGGAAAAATTTCCCTCTCCTTTCCCCTCCCCTCTTCAGAATAACAGCTCCCTACCCCGATCACTTCACAGATAACAGCACTGAGCTTCGCAGCAGTCCCCATTGGAAAAGAGCTCTACCTCCCTCCTTTTCATTTTGGGTAGAGCAAAGCGAGTCACCTAGAACGAGCAGGCATGGATGAGTTTTAATCTTCATCGCTGTTTCCATTACGTTATCTTTACCCCAAAACTAACCCCTCTTCTAAACTTCCCTATCCCTAGATGGGTGCCACCCTCCTTCCATCACCCAAGTTTGCAACCTCAGTGCCATCCTCACCTCCTTGTTTTCCCTTACCCCACATACCCAGTCAGTCATTGGGTCTTGTTGTTTCTGCTTCCACAGCATCTTTCCCCTTCTCTCCACTTACACAACCATCACTTTTGTTTAGGCTCTCGGAATTGCCTTTTGCTGGAGACCAATTGACTAAAGCCCCTGTTCGGCATTCATATCTGCTTGCCCACAGTTGCCATTGACAGTTGTCAGGACACTCGCTGTAGCTATCATTCACTGAAGAGGTTTGGCAACAGCAGCGAGTTAGAGGAGTTAGTCATGATCATAGCTGCCCAAAGAGATGGAGGAAGACGAGAGGGAGGAGCTATACCTCAAATTTAAGTGCGTTGGTTTCCGTTTGTGGTTCCTTCCTTCCTTCCTTCCAGATCTCAACACTCTGCACCCTTCCTGTGTGCTAATGATGTCTTGTTTCGTGTGGTAGTTCTTTTTATGCCTACCTCGTCCCCCTTAAAGAGTTTGTGCTTTTGGATAGCCTAGCACAGGGCTTTGCATACAACAGGCATCAGATAGATGTTGGTTGAATTATTTTCTGAATAGTTATTGGCCTCTTTTGGCGCTTCTGATGCTTTTGTTTGTTAGACTCAGCGTGGGGGAGCCTCTTATGCTCTCATCTCAGAGAACTCTTGAAGGTTTCCCTTCCCTGAAGTCAACAAGCCAAAGTGCTTCCACCCCTGGGAACTGAAGGCGGCACTTGTTTCACAGAAGCTCCACGTGTTCTGTCTCTATGTCCTGCTGCTGCACGGACAAGCAGACAGGCTCCTCCTGGGTCCCGTCAGGGCCACGGCTGCGGCTCTCAGACCTCGTGAATCATAGGAGCTGTAGCTGTTTCTGCTGAATAAGACTCTGAAAAAGACATGAAAAGTGCATCTTTCTGGTACCTGCTGCCTCTGCATCAGTTAGTGAGCTCCCAATATGAGACATCCCAGTAACACGTTGGAAAGACTGGCCAACAGGAAGAGCAGTTGATTCTGTGTAGGTCTTGTGACTAACACTGTTCAACCCGTTCTTTATTTCACTTTTCAACCAGTTGTTACCCTGTAAATTCAGCTTATGTGTGCACTCTGGGGGAAACCAATGGGCGTGCACAGAGCTTTTTCACATTGATCAGCTGGAGCAGGAATTTTCTGAGCTCCTACAGAAAGGAAATGTCATTCCTATGCACTGGCTTGTAATCAGCCCCTTGTATTCAAGTCCTAAAATTACTCTGACAAGTGTAGACTGGTGATTGTCTTTGGCCATGGGCCTAATTGGACACCACTCTTCTTTTTCAGATACACATTGACATTCCAAGGACGAATCCTCTCATTCCGTTGTTCCAGCAGCCACTTGTCCAAGAGGTGAGGCACACACTTCGTTATTTGGGCCCTTCTCCCACTGTTGTACTTCATAATGTGCTTCTGTTGTACTCTTCCTTTATACTCTTAAGATCTCTTCCTCTTGCAGCAGATTATATAGCTACAGATGGTAATGCTTCGTACATTTCAATTCATCTGTCATTTAATCTATAACTTAAGTGAAGCAAAGATCCCCATTTGACAGGTAAGGAAACTTAGCCTTAAAGAGGTTGAATGACTCACCCAGAGTCACAAAGTTAGTTAGAAGCAGGGTCAGGATTAGAACTCAGATCTTTGGATCCTTTTCTTCAGGAAGAGAGTGGAATCTGCAAACTATAGGCAGGTGAGTTTGATTTCTATTCCTGTAACAAAATTACAGAGCACTTTAAAAAGGATGGTTTGTGAACAGAGAGGGGAGCATTAATTGCTAAAAGCTAATGTGGCTTCATGAATGTGTTATGTTATACTAACCTTATTTCTTTTTTTTTGACAAGGTAACTAGACTGGAAGATCAGGGGAATGTTGTAGATGTAGCGTTCTTATTATTTTAGAAAAACATTTGACAGAATCTCTCGTGCTGTATTTTGTGAAGACATATGCGGCAGATCTCAGATCCGCAGTCAGACAGATTTGGAATTAGTTGAATGGCTAGACTCCAAAGGTCCAGCTGATTGATGATTTGCTGTCAGCTTAGATGGCTATCTCTATTGGAGGGTGTCAGAAGTCTGTGCATGACAGACTACAGCTTACTCTTTCTTTCTGTGACATGGAGGAAGCCATGCTCTCAGATTTGCAGGTGACGTGAAGCTGAGAGGAATAACTTAACACAGTAGATGTCAGGATCCAGAAAGGTTAAAAAAAATTGAGTTTTATCTAATAATGTTATGTAATAGGGATAAATGTAAAATTTTGATTTGTTCAACAAAACAAGTGCAGGATGGGGAAAGGTGTGGCTAGAAAATAGTGCATTTGGTAGGGTTGTAGTGAACTGCCAGCTCAGGATGAGTTAACCATATGTCAGCCAAGCGTGTGGCATGCTCTCCTAGGCATCAGTCAGAAATGCCTGTGGGCAAAGCAGTGAAGGTTCCACCATACTTTGTCCTGGTCCTGCCACAGCTAAGGTGTTATGTTCAGTTTGCGGTATTATAGTTTAGGAAGCCTGTGAATGAATTCAAAAGAAGTTAAACGGGATGGTGAGGGGACTGGAATGAAGAGGGCTTACTCTAGAAAAGAGAAGATTTTGGGGAAAACATGATCGCGACCTTCAGATATTTGAAGGGTTATGTGGAAGAGGATTGGCCCCTTTGGGCAAAACTAGTAGCACTGAGGGGAACAACACTGCAGAGACTCAAAGTAAGGCTCAGTGTATGGAAACATTTCCCAGCCCAAGTGCAATGAGAGACAGTGGGCATCTTCCCTCTAGAAGTCTTCAAATGGTCTTGACCAGTTCCAGGCCCTGGAGGCCTCCAAGGTCTCTTACCCTTCTTAGTGACTCTCTGTGGTTCTGTGTCCAAAGGGCCTGATGTTGTTTTTATTGCATCAGGCTGAAAGCCCACATAAATGTGCATCTGTCTCTTGTTCTAGGGATTCACAAAACTCTAAATAAAACAATAACATTACACAAGAGGAAGCAGAAAGCTTTCCAGATTCCCCAGCTTGCTTCCCTGCTCAACTCCATGTTACTCAACTCCTTTCTTCTTCACTCTCTGTTTGGGATAGATGTATTGGAGAATCCATAATGTGATGGAAAGAGCACTGAAAGAGAAGCCAGGAAGCCTGGGTTCAAATTCAAATTCCACTCCTGGTTATCTTATAATTGTGAACGAGTCATTTGTCATCTCTGGGCCTCAGTTGTCTTGTCTGTAAAATCAAGGAGCAGGGAGGATTAGGTGGTTTTCAAATCCTGTCCAGCTCCAACCATCTATTGAATTTAATACTTCAGAGACATATAACCATGCATGTGTGCTTTAACGCGTGGTTCACATCTTCCTTTCAGCTGGGGAAAGAATTTAAGTTTTGGTTTTTTTTTTAATTTAAGCATTTTTAGAGGCTTCTCTTGGTAGCTAAACCAGAATGTAAAGAGAGAGTCACAAACTACTCTCTCTTTTAACTTCTAGTATGCTACAGTAGCAGAACACCCAGAAGAAGCAGATGTTAGCAGGCATTTATTAAGTATTTACCATGTGTTGCACACTGTGCAGAAGCAGTGAACCCCAAAGGCTTTAGGCGTTTGTCTCTGTTGGTGCAGAGGACGATGGACGAGAGTGCTGTATACAGCAAACCCATTGAGTCACAGAGGTAGGAAGGACATTCAGAGGTTACCTGGTCTGTTCCCTTGTTCACAAGCAGAATGACAGCCACACCAATCCAGACATTGTTAATGACCTACGGTAATGGTTGTTTCGTGATCTCCCAACAGTAACATGTTTCTTGGCCTTTGTTATCACAGGATTTTTCTCGGATCTAGTTTAAATCCCCAGAATTGCACTTTTGACCCCGTTGCTGCTTTGTTCTGACTTCATTAGACAAAGAGAACTATGACATCATCAGTTTCCGTACAATAGTCTTATATGTACTTTACTGTTTAATCAGTTAACCAATGTTTGAGGATTCACAAGGTGTGCGGTACTTCATTTACACTCGAATGAACATCATCAAGATTGTGTATGGCCCTTGTGGAGTTTGTTCCCTAATAGAAATATCAGGATTAATAATCAACATAAATAATCAAAATTTAAAAAAAAAAAAAAAAAACATTGGCTATTAGAATGCTCCTGTTTAAAAGAAGGTAAATTAGATTAACTGAAACATTTACCATGAGGGAAAGGCTTAGAGGTGGAAGAAGTGGGGCGGGGTAGTCTGTGTCAGGCAGAGGGCGTGAGTAAGAAGTTATATAAAGCTGGAAAGAAGAGGGAAGAGCCGGTGAGGTCTGGGGGAAGATGGGTCAAAGTCACTGGGGGAGAGCCTAACACAGTGTGAGAGGTTTCTGTTTGATCTAGAGGGTGAAAGAAGCCATTGTAGGAGTACAAGTGGTAGAGAACTCTCACTACAACACTGGACACAGAGAAGTTGGGCATGATAGCCCCTCTGTTCAGCTGCCAGACCAGTGTGCCAGTCTAGTGAAAATAGTGAGGACAGCCATGTTTCTGGTCAGGGTTGATGCTTACCTGCCCTTGGTATAGGAGTGCCGACAGTGAAGACATTTTAGCAGCTTCATCTTTCTATCAGGATGTTGTACTCCACTCTCTTTGACATATATGGGCCAATTCAAATAATTTTTTTTAATTTCATTTTTAAATAGATGTTTATTGATATCTTTTGCTCCCCCCAAAGGAAATTTTTAAAAATTTTCAGTTCCAAGTTCTCTCTCCCCTTCTATCCCCTCTCCCACTCATTGAGAAGGCAAGAAACACAATACCCATTATACATATGAAGTCATGCAAAACATATTTCCACATTGGCTGTGTTGCCTCCCTTCCCCCCACCCACTAAAAAGCAAGAAAAATAAAGGAAATAAAAGTATACTTCAGTCTGTACTCTGAAACCATCAATTCTCGATCTGGAGTCCTTTGTACTCATGGTATATCATTGCCAGTACAAATTTTTCAGGGTGCCTCTAGAGCCAGGAGTTCTTAACTTGGGATACATAAACTTCTTGTTTGAAAAAATTGTTATTTTGATAACTGTGATCCAATATAATTGTTTTTATTTGTAATCTTGTGTGTTTTTTAAAATGTATTTAAAATAAATTTAAAATGTATTCTGAGAAAGAATTCCTTAGGTTTCACCAAACAGCCAGAGGGGTTCATAACACAAAAAAGTTAAGAACTCCATTATAGATTCTCTTTTTCTTTTTTCTTTTTAAAAATTTTTTTTCCTTTCTTTTTTAAATTAATTTATTTTGATTTATCAACAGTCACTTCCATAAGCTTTTGAGTTTTCCATTTTTCTCTACCTCCCTCCCCAAGACGACATGCAATCTGATATAGGCTATACATATACATTCCTATTGAACATATTTTCACATTAGTCATTTTGTAAGGAAGAATTAGAACCAAGAGGAGGAACCACAAGAGAGAGGAAACAAAACAAAACAGAAGAAAAAAATGGCAAATAGTATGCTTTGATCTGCATTCAAATTCCATAGTTCTCTCTTTGGATGTGGATAGCATTTTCTATCATGAGACTTTTGGAGATGTCTTAGATCCTTGCATTGCTGAGAAGGGCTAAGTCTGTCATCATTAGTCATTGCATAATGTGGCTGTTACTATGTACAACATTCTCCTGGTTCTGCTCACTTTACTCAGCATCACTCTGCACAAGTCTTTCCAGGTTTTTCTGAAATCTGTCTGCTCATCATTTCTTATAGCACAATAGTATTCCGTTACAGTCATATACCACAACTTGTTCAGCCATTCCCCAATTGTTGGGCATGCCCTCAATTTCCAATTCTTTGCCACCACAGAAATAACTGCTATAAATATTTTTGTACATGTGGATCCTTTTCCCATTTTTATGATTTCTTTGGGATACAGCCCTAGAAGTGCTATTGCTGGGTCAAAGGTTATGCACATTTTTATAGCCCTTTGGGCGTAGTTCCAAATTGTTCTCCAGAATGGTTGGATCATTTCACAACTCCACCAACAATGCATTAGTGTTCCAATTCTCCCACATCTTCTCCAACATTTATCATTTTCCTGTTTTGTCATGTTGACCAATCTGATAGGTGTGATGTGGTACCTCAGAGTTGTTTTGATTTGCATTTCTCTAATCAATAGTGATTTAGAGCATTTTTTCATATGACTATAGATGACTTTAATTTCTTCATCTGAGAACTGCCTGTTCATATCCTTTGACTATTTATCAATTGGGGAATGACTTGTATTCTTATAAATTTGACTTAGTTCTCTATATATTTTAGAAATGAGGCCCTTATCAGAGACACTGGTTGTAAAACCCATTATAGATTCTCTGCTTTTTTGTTTTTGTTTAATGAAGGACCA